AGGGTGGTTGGCTTTTGGAATGAGCTGTCGTCAAGGGCGGTGGAGGCGGAAAATTTAAGTGAGTTCAAGAAAAGATTGGATAAATACATGAGTAGTAAGGGGTGGTTATAGTTGGGAGCTGGAAGGGACATCCTTGATAGACTAATAAGCTCCTTTTTATCCATTTAAAATTTTATGAATTTATTTATGATTTGCAAAAATACCAATAAATATGTCAGACCCACCAAAAGTCCCTCCCATCTCTCTAACGTTAAAGATTGATTGCTTATTAACTTTACATGTTTGATGGGCATGTTTATAACCAGTAGAAAAAATCAGATCCTACTATACATAAGACTTATGACCTTTTTTCATTTTCCCAACAGTAAAGCCATTTGTTGTTTGTGGTTGGTCCTACCCTAGTGCTCTGAGTGTTTAAAGAATTTGTCTTAACCTATTTATAACTTACTTTGAAAGCAAGATAAGTTATAGTAGTTTTGGAACAATCTATTCTAGTAATTGATACATGATTTTTGTGTTCTAAAGTGCATATTTGAAAGCTACATTATTTCTTTTTTTGGAGATCCAAATTTGTAAGAAACAATGAGGAATGCTACTCAAATACAAAAGTACCTAGATTTTGAATACTAAACCTAGTTTCTTGTGTGTATATTTTTATCTATTCTATGTTTTTTTTAACAAAAGTATCTCAAATAAAAGAAGTTTCTTAGGTTAGGTAACAAAATGTAAATAAAATAATAACCCATTTAAAATTTTATGAACTAAGCAGATGGGAAAGGCAGCTCATGGTATGTGCATAACTATAGCCTGATAGTGTGCTTACAGTACAGCTCAACAGGAAACAGTTAATGGACTCCTGCTGTGATTTATTGCTTTTCACTTGAAGTAGTTGGTCTAAAGTACAGCAATAAAACCATAAAATTAAAAGAAAGCAGATGGGAAAAGATGAAACTGTTAGGATAACTAACTTGCAATTGTTATGCTCTGTGATAATTATAGACAAACAAGTGGTATTATTAGTTTTATTTTGTATTTTTCAACTTTTCCTTTCATTCCTTATTGATGATTTTGTTGCACTTAATGTTAGGGTTGAGAAAATTAAGAAGTAAAAATAAAACTTAAAAAAACAATACCTGATTATCATTTAGAAGGCTTTAGGGGTTATGCAAATGAAATATGAAAACTGTATGATGAAAAGAACTCTTTTTATACTTAGCATGAAAATTACCTTTCACTTTGACTGACTCGGAAATTTGTTTAAGTTCACAGACGAATATTTAGTAAAAATACTTTATTAGAAAATCTGATTTTTTGGGTACCATAGAACTGTAATGTTCACTCAAAGCTTGCCAAGTTTCATGAAGATGTACTTATTGCATTCAGGGTTATAATATGTATAATTTCATGATTATGTGGTGGTTACAAAGTCATTCATATACAGAGAGTTCATCCTATGCCAACAGGTCAATCATATTGACTGTGCTACATCTACTGGGTAGTAATTCCTCAAACATTAAGTTATTTATTCCTTGAATTACGAAATACTTGGTGATCTATTATAAATAAAAAGTCCATAAAGCTAGAGAAAAATAGAAGTTGATGCAAACATCCATTTAAGTTGAACTAGCTAACTAGTATGTCTCGTTTTTCTCAAGGTGGTTGTGGTGGTGGTTGTATTTTTCCATTTTGTTTTTTATTTTAATTTTACTAAAGCAACTAGAAGTGCTTACCATACTGAGGAAAATATAAGAAATACAATTTAATAGAGTTGTGGATTTTAAAGGATAATATCTGTAAAGTGATATTGCCAATTGAGACCTAGTATCCAAAGATTGTTTTATGTAAGTACAAACCTAAAAAAACATTAAACTTATTCTTTTGTTCAGAGTTACAAGAAGAGCTTCAGCCAGTAGTAAGAAATATCCATAGTGCATTAGTTTTAAACCGTTTGACATCAAAGTGGGAATTAAAGACTTGATGTGCTGCTGCTGCATTAGGTTAAAAGGCCATGTGATAGCTTTATTGTTCGTGTTATGTTTAAAATCCATACATTAATTATATCTTTTAGAAGGATATTGTTTTGCCTTCTTTTGTTTGTTATATGTAAAATAGACATATCACAATGCAGGGAAACATTTTTTCTGAACTAATAGGACCCTCATGCAAGACATTATATAAGTACTTGTTATTTTCATGATATAAAATTAGAAACATTTTGGTTTACTTATTACAAACTAGGTGCAGTATAGAATATTGACTAAAATTAATATATTTTTGTCTTTCAAGAAGAGCAGACTTTTAATAGTTTATCTTATGTATAGTGTTTTGTGTATTTTATGAAGTGGTGGAGTTTACAGTTGCTTGAATAACTAATACAAAGTAGAAGTGATCTTATAAGTTAGAGAAAAACTTGCATGTTTAAAATTCTATAATATTTTTTGCAGAAAATAATTATTGTTAGCTAATTACCACTTTTATTTTTTGGAAAGTTTGTGTATGATTGATTAAGATCCAAAATCCTGTGTTTAAAATATTAAAACAGATTGATTGAGGAATAAGTCAAGTGTAGTCAGCTTATCTGTTCTCAAGTTGTTGACATAATTCCAGTGGTATTTCATTTTATCAAAAAACATAAATAGAATAAAAACTATAATTATTCAAGTGGCTATAGTTGTTAATAACTTCTGAGTGAATGTAAAGAATAGCATATAATAACATGTTAGTCATACTATATCTTCTATATCCAGTGCTGATGAGGACTGTTGCCCAATTCCAGGGCTTTTCAGGTCAGCTTGGATAGGTAGATGTGGTAGTGGTTAAGACACTATTTATGTTAGCAGATTGCTTGACAGTACCTTTTATGATATAAAGTATGATGTTATAATTCAGGATTTGATTCCTGTAGTGTGCACAATACAGATAACCCCTTATGCAGCCCCTTGTACTTAACATCAATCAAATGAAAAAAAAACCCAACATTTAATCAGAAAAAAATATATTTTGTACCTTTCTCATGTTTGGCATTAACTGTTAAATAGAATAAGTAAATATTTTTGCTATAGGCTCTTGTCTTGACTCATCTAATTAATAAGCATATATAATTGATGTTAACCAAAACTTGAAGAATAACTTAGTTATTTAAATAATGAAGTTATAAGTAACATGTGTTGTTTAATAAAAATTTTAAGTAGATGTGACTTGTAATCAAAGATTTATTAACATATCAAATTTCTATGAAGACCTGCACTGGCAGATGGAAATATCTTCTGTAAACCAACTCAGACAAATGTTTGAAATCCATTAAACCTTCTAAGATGAGTGATTAATGTTGGTATTTCTTTGTATGTGTACATGAGCATTACACTTCATTATAACTGGCTTCTATATAATGTGTGTTATTCTAACATATGCAAAGAACTCTGAACAACAAAACATTATAGGGGATATGTTTGGAAACTCTTATTTCATACAAAATAAATGGTGTGTTATTTTTATCTGTAAATTATAGAACTAACAGATATCTTACCTATTATATTTGAATTTCAGTGTTCTCAGCCTAGCCACCAAATGCATGGTTCCGTCATTTCGTATTCACGTACGTGCCCATGGAACTGCTCCCAAAATTTTCAGTGCCTTAATGGATGCTCCAGCAGACCCAGTAAGCATAACCTAAGTTAAAGAGGGAGAGAAAATAATAATGTACTTGGAAATTTAATATATTTTTTTTGTTTATAAAGGTCTGTATCATTTAAAAGAAGAATGAACGGAACATTGGTGAGCATGTTGTAATACAACACTTGTTCTTTTCAGGAATATGATAATTTACAACTTAATACTTTCCTGTGGTTTCCAATGTGCATAGTCAACTAAATTGCAGTCCTTGAAATTAGAACATAAAGGTCATAGCAAAAAAAAAACGTCACTGTAAGTGCATTAATAAGGATAGCACTTGCAAATTTCATCGTATGTCCTGAATATATTCTTCTACATAAAGACATGCTTAATATACTAGTGTTGTTCAACGTAAGCATCCTTGTTGAAGTAAAATCAAAAAACTTGTATCACATTTGTGTACAGATTAAATATTATGCTTATACAATGTTTAACTTCTCTGGCAAGGCAAAATGAAACTGTTAAAAGTTTAATGCTAGCAAGATACAGCGACACAGTCTTAACAAGTATGATTTCAAACATTGGTATTCTTCATTCTTCAAATAACATAAAACTGATCTCGTATTAGTTCTGGCTCTGAATCACATTTTGATTAAAATAAATTTTTCATTAATTGAAGTGTAAAAACTACTAGCTAGAGAATTATCAATATTTTTTGTCAACATGTTTGTCCTTGATAAAGATCAGTGCTTTATATAATCACTATCAATCAGAAATATATGAATAGATACACCCATGCATTCAAACCTGTCAGAGGAACTTTTAAAAATTTCATGTTTACCTTGGTTTTTTTGACAACAATCCACTTAATTTAATTGTAAGTGAAATTTCAAATTATGTAATATGAGGTTATTGTATCATTAAATATTCTAGTTATTTATCAGCAGTTTATTTTCATTTAAAATCTTAATCTTCCATTTTATTCACAGGAACAATTAAGAAATTAAAGGGAAAACAAAAATGTTGTAGTTAATGTTTTGCATAAAAATGCTACGACCTTCTCAATAACTTTGCTGTATACCATCACTAATTTCAGGGACTGCAATGTATGCATTTATTTGTGAGCAAATTTTATGTTTATTTTAAAAGTAGTTCCCTTTCCTTTTTTATGTTTTAAAAACTTTCTTTTGTCTTCTAGTGCAACATGCATGCTTATACTAAATTTCAGTGCATCAGTTAAGAGATTTGTGGCATTTCTTATTTTTTTGGTAGTAGCACTATTTTTAAACTTAATTAGTCAGATATTATTTGTTCAATTTGGAGACATTTATTGTATGTGTCTATTTTTTAAATGCTTAAGCAGAATCTACTGTAAAATTAGCTTAAAATTTTCAATGGAATTGTACTAAATTTGGTGTAAAAGTTGTATTAATAAGGACATTTCATAACTCATGGAAGTTCAGTCTTCTCATTGAAACAAACCCCATGATAGATTTCATCAGTGTTTATCTGAATGATTCATAATGTACTTACTGATATTTCATAGACAATTCAAAACTCCATTTTTTTGAGGGAACTCGTAGTTTTAAACTTTTATCTTGTTCAGTGAGTGTGTGTAGAGTTATTCTCCTAAATTCTTTAATTTTGGATAAATGTTAAACTAACTTCAAGAGGTAAAGTTAAAATTCCTCCAAATTGTTTATTTGATGGTTATTAATACATTTGAAAATAAATACATTTACTTCATGTCAGGTAAAAGTACAAAAACCGGAACAATAAACTACAACTGAAAAGTAAACACAGTTTTCAGAGGGAGTAGTAAGATAGTATTTTCATTGGTAGTTTACTGTTATCTACACTAGTTCAGCTGTTCAACAGTTAATGGAATATGTCCTGTGTAATGCTATGATAGTTTTACAAACAGTAAAAGCACTAAAGAACTGCATGTGGCTTGCTAGATGCCAGTTGGCCAATCATGTTACTTGCAGTGAACAGCGTATGTGAAACATCTACAACACATGTAATTCATTTCTAGTGTAGTTCAAAATAAATAAAATATAATTTTAATAATATTTGTAAAAAAACTATTATAGACATTGTTAATAGAACATTATATCAAAATAGATGGATGCATGAATAGACAAATTTAAATGAGTATGAATAATTTATAAAACTACTTAAAATAATTAAAGTTATGATGATTTACAACTGGAATATGAATTTTAATATAAAATTTTGAAAAGATACATTGCACATTAGCTAAATTGTATTAACTTATCAAGTTGTGCATTTGTTCTTTAGTATAACCAAAAAAATATTTCAATTGATCCGATGTACTTAACTGATTTAAGCTAGGCTACCGCTAACATCCATATAATAAATGTCAGTGCAGAATATTCTTTCCCTTAATTTGTGAAATTATCATAAAAAGTTTGAGTACAAATGTATAACTTGGTAAAATTCAAAATTAGTTATTACTTGCAGGAACATATTAACCATCTGTTGTTTTGACATACATCTCATTCTGATATACATTGGTCATGAGGTGTAGTTTTCATAAAGATGAAGCTACTTTTCATGATTGTGTAATATAGGGATCAAAGCCACAACAGTTTCTTTGTGGCCAAACTTCAACAAATAAGACTTAGAGTTCTAGTTGTGAATATCTTAAATTAACCCTATAGTGCTATGGCTAAGGTTATAGAATGGTTTAAAAAATGTTTATTTTTCCTATACTTGATATGGCTGTGTTGTGTCAAAAGTGTTGCTAGTTGGAAAAAAAAAAAGTAAATTAACTCAAGTATTTAAAAGTTGAAATTATTTGAATGACTCTTTTATATATATATATATATATATATATATATATATAGTAGTAAGTTTATATATATA